TCCTTATTATTAGAATGCATTAGGATGCTCCCCATTCTTATCCAGTTTTAAATATGTGTGTAAATCAGACTTTGAGGAACCGCTGCATTAGCAAATTAAACCTGATCTGAAGGGAGTGTTTTTCTATATGTCTCATATTTAGAAAGCCTGCAGTTCTTTGTTTCTGTTTTTTTTTTCCCCTAACACTTCTGAGATTGGACTATATTTTAATTATAAAAATAAAAATACAGAAATATTGAACTAAAGAGAAGTACAAAGAAATATAACTCTGCTTTCATTTTCTTGTTTGAGTGCTAAATTATTTGTTGTTGTTTAGTCGTTTAGTCGTGTCCGACTCTTCATAATCCCATGGACCAGAGCACTCCAGGCCCTTCTGTTTTCCACTGCCTCCCAGAGTTGAGTCAAATTCATGTTGGTAGCTTGAATGACACTGTCCAACCATCTCATCCTCTGTCATCCCCTTCTCCTCTTGCTTTCACACTTTTCCAACATCAGGGTCTTTTCCGTGGAGTCTTCTCTTCTCATGAGATGACCAAAATATTGGAGCCTCAGCTTCAGGATCTGTCCTTCCAATGAGCACTCAGGGTTGATTTCCTTCAGAATGGATAGGTTTGTTCTCCTTGCAGTCCAGGGGACTCTCAAGAGTCTCCTCCAGCACCATAATTCAAAGGCATCAATTCTTCAGCAGTCAGCCTTCTTTATGGTCCAGCTCTCACTTCCACACATCGCTACTGTAAGAACCATAGCTTCGACTATACGGACCTTTGTCAGCAAGGTGATGTCTCTGCTTTTTAACATGTTGTCTAGGTTTGTCATCGCTTTCCTCTCAAGAAGCAGGCGTCTTTTAATTTTGTGGCTGCTGTCACCATCTGCAGTGATCATGGAGCCCAAGAAGGTAAAATCTGTCACTCCCTCCATATCTTCGCCTTCTATTTGCTAGGAGGGGATGGGGCCAGTGGCCGTGATCTTAGCTTTTTGGTGTTGAACTTCGGACCATTTTCTGCGCTGTCCTCCTTCACCTTCATTAAGAGATTCTTTAATTCCTCCTCACTTTCTGCCATCAGTGTGGTATCATCTGCATATCTGAGGTTGTTGATATTTCTTCCGGCAATCTTAATTCAATTTTGGGATTCCTCCAGTCCTGCCTTTCGCATAATGTATTCTGCATAAAAGTTGAATAAGCAGGGAGACAATATATAGTCTTGTCGTACTCCTTTCCCAATTTTGAACCAATCAGTTGTTCCATATCCAATTCTAACTGTTACTTCCTGTCCCATACATAGATTTCTCAGGAGATGGATAAGGTAGTCAGTAAGGCAGTCAATAAAGCAATCAATAAAGCATAGTCAATAAAGCAGAAGTAGATGTTTTTCTGGAACTCTCTAGCTTTCTCCATAATCCAGTGCATATTAGCAATTTGGTCTCTAGTTCCTCTGCCCCTTCAAAATCCAGCTTGTACTTCTGGGTTTTCTCAGTCCACATACTGCTGAAGTCTGCCTTGGAGGATTTTGAGCATAATCTTGCTGGCATGTGAAATGAGTGCAGTTGTACAGTAGTTGGGGCATTCTTTGGCACTGCCCTTCTTTGGGATTGGGATGTAGACTGATATTTTTCCAGTCCTCTGGCCAATACTGAGTTTTCCAAACTTGCCGGCATATTGCGTGTCGCACCTTAACAGCATCATCTTTTAAGATTTTAAATAGTTTGACTGGAATTCCATCACCTCCATTGGCCTTCTTGTTAGCCATGCTTTCTAAGGCTCACTTGACTTCACTCTCCAGAATGTCTGGCTCAAGGTCAGCAACCACGCTATCTGGGTTGTTCGGGACATCCAGATATAATCCTGGTATAATTCCTCTGTGTATCCTTGCCACCTCTTCTTGATGTCTTCTGCTTCCCATTTTTGTCCTTTATTATGTCCATCTTTGCACAAAATGTGCCTTTAATATCTCCAATTTTCTTGAACAGATCTCTGGTTTTTCCCTTTCTATTATTTTCCTTTATTTCTTTGCACTGTTCATTTATAGATACCTATAAAGTTACCTGTGTGTTGGATAGATAGCTTTATAGGTGCTCATGGTATGTAGTGAAGTCCTGATTGACAACATCTAGAAATTCCCTGCAGCAGCCATAAGCTTGAATATATCTTGATCTGGTTTCAGAAAGGATGTTGCATGTTATAGGCAACAGTGGTCTGTGACTGGAGCAGGGGAGCAGCTCACCCTAAAAAGTCTGTGTGAAATGCTCCTTTTGCTTAGACTATGAGCACAGCAGGTTGTAAATAAATCTCACTAAATAAGTCTTCCCTAGCTTCCAAACCAAGAAGTATCATGTAGCAAACTGTGAACCTTTGTTAATTCCCTACACTTCCCACTGCCTGGAGCATACAAAGTATGTGTAGGCAGAAAGGCATCTTGAAGCTCCACTTTGTGTATGCCACCCAAGGAAGGGAGTAGAAGTTTACAAGTTGTATGGAGTTACTGCACGCACAGTGTATGGTGACCTGGTTCCCACAGGGAAAGAATTATGGAGCAAGTAGAGGAGTGACTAAATTATATTAGAATACTGCAATGATATTGTACAACAAAATTTCTTTGAATCACCAAACAGGAATTTGAGGCGGATTCTTTGAATCACCAAACAGGAATTTGAGGTGGATAGTTATACAGTGGGGTCTTGACATGAGAACTTAATCCGTATTGGAAGGCGGTTCTCAAGTCAAAAAGTCTGTAAGTCAAGTCTCCATTGACCTACAGTGCATTGAAAACCGATTAATCCTGTAACAGGCCGTTTTTGTTCCATTTTGGTTTTTTTCTGGTCTGTAAGTCAAATCTCAGTCTGCAAGTCAAACCTAAATTTTGCGGCCAGAGAAGTCTGTAACTCAAAAAGTCTGTAAGTCAAGCCGTCTGTAAGTCAAGGGTCCACTGTAGAATGAATACATTGTTGTAAGTTTCTCTTAAAACCATAAAACATGTTTAGAGAGGACTAAAGGTAAAGGTAAAGGTTCCCCTTGACAATTTGTCCAGTCATGTACAACTTTAGGGGGCGGTGCTCATCTCTGTTTCCAACCCATAGAGCTATCATTTGTCCGAAGACAATATTCCGTGGTCATGTGGCCAGCGCGACTAGACACAGAATGCTGTTACCTTCCCACCATGAATGAATACTTTATTGAATGGTGGTACCTATTTATCTATTTGCATTTTTGCATTTTGCATGCTTTCGAACTGCTAGGTTGGTGGGACCTGGGACATGCAATGTGGGCTCACTCCATCACTTAGATTCGATCTTACAACTGCAGGTCTTCTGACTGTGCAGCACAGAGACTTCTGCGGTTTAACCCGCAGCATCACCACATCCCTTTTTAGAGAGGACTACTACTAAATTTAAAATCTTACTGGTTCTGGCTTTTGTCTCTATAGGATTCCTACAGTAAATTAATTTCTATTAGTGTCATTAATGACACTACTCTTGTCATTTTCAGAAATAAGAAAATAGAGGTCATATAGCTTACGCGGCAAGCCCATACAGTATTGTCATTTCTTTTTTGTTGAAAGTGATGAAAGTGGCAGGGCCAGCATCCTTCCCTCATTTTGTCTGTTGTCCACATACTTAACAGAACACTTGAAAAGGGCTTAGGAGAATCAATTTCATGTTCATCAAGCTCATGTTGCTGTAAAGTATTTCATTGGGGATCATAGAATGTGTATTCAGATAGTTCCATAGTAATCATTGCCTGGAAATAAAAGGCTAATGAATTTCTTCATGTGCCTGTCTCATAAAGCTAGCACAATCATTTCTATAAATCTCTACCCACCCAAATATTTTCCCATGGCAGTTTTTCTGTGAGCAACTTTTCCTTTTTTAAAAAACACAAACCATTTCATTCAGTTAATTAATGAAATAATGTACAAAGCAGAATGTCAAATGTTGCTCCTGTTGTAGCAATGGAGCTGAGTACGGTAACTGCATCCTTCAGTACTAGTTTTGAACCATAAGTATTTGAATGTTAATCCGGTTGCCTGAATCAGAAGCTAAATCCATTTGTGGGTTTTAACTAGAGTAGGCCCATAGAATACATCATAACTCACAATAGAGCAATTGATTCAGTGGGTCTACGGACCTTGGAACTAACAATAGAAAAGGGAATTTGTTGCATAAATGTTCCACTCCCCTCAATCCATGGATTACCAAAATGTTCTTGGAAGCTATGAACCAGTGTAGCATTCCAGTGTTGGTTTAGTGAGTAAGGGATAGTTTTAGAGTCTTCAGTGGAAAATACAGATGAAAATGTATGTCTTTACCCTGGTTAGTGTTGGGGGTCCCTTCACTCTAGCAGCTAGAGTTAGCTTGCAGGATCTTACTACAAATTGAAAAGTTAAAGCAACTTGCAGTATTCTGTTGATTTTTTTAAAATGCAGAGCCTCTTCACATCACTGCTTCCATTCATGGTAGCTGTGAAAGAATTCTTGCCTATGTTGGCTCCCAGCTATTGAGGCATATGGAAACCAGTAATACGTGTTTGCTGGTAGGATTCATCCTCTGTCACACCCTGCAGGAGCTTGAAAAGTAACATATCCAGCGTCTTCACCAGCCAGTAGATGCCCAGTGGCCCTGAGATGGTGAAACAGTGATAATAGTAGGACTGAAAAGCAAGAGCATAATTATCATGATGTCATATATTTAACTTTGGATTTTAATTTTGTCCTGTAAATACTGTAACCTTTACAATGAGCCATACTGCAAGTTAACAGAAATTGGCTTTCCAAAGACCACCAAATTAAATTATGGTGGAGATTCTGTTTAAATCAGGAGTCCCACTGCTCTTTCCACTGTGTTCCTTTTCAACTATTTTTCTTCATCTCTAAAATCAATTCCACGGGAGGCAGTGGAAGATAGGAGGGCCTGGCGTGCTCTGGTCCATGGGGTCACGAAGAGTAAGACATGACTAAATGACGACGAAAATCAATGCGTACATTGATTGTGACTTTTTTTTTTAGGAGAACCTATAGAAGGTCTTAGAGAGAGCGATTACCTTTTGGTTCATTCATGCCGACAGTGGACGACAATTACAGCTCATAGTCTGGAGGAGGGCCATTACGTCATAGGACCGAAGATAGAGATTCCCGTGCATTATGCTGGTAAGTGCAGCTTCAGCTCTGAACTCAAAATGAAAATGAAGAGAGAGTAAGTTGCCTTCCAGCAGTTTTGATGGAAAGGTATTGAAACTGAAAAACACATGCTGAAAATGAAGTCCAGGAGAAGAGCTACAGTTTATACATGTATCAAGTACATCTGTATGCGCTTCCACTACGATCTAGCTAGTAAAACCTCATTAACCACTAAACCAAAGAGGCCCATGTCTACTGCAAAACCATCCACTAAGTTCTTTTGACAAATGATCAGTTACCAGCTGTGTTATGCCTAAACATTTTATTCTGCCATATGACACCCTGCTTATGTCAATTCCTGGCAGATTTCCTAGGTGCTTCCAAATAAGCATGAAAATTTTGGAAATGGTGCCAGCTGGAGGCGCACTGTCTTTATTTATGTCTCCGTTGTAAGCAACTATTGTTGCCTGCCCTATCACAATGTGGCAAGTGTATGCATGCCTCCCATCTCTGTTAAGTTCTAAAAGTTACTTGTTAGAATCTAGAATGGAGAACTTCCTGGTAGTGGTTCTGTTGCTTTACAGGTTTGGCAAGCCTTTGCCTCTTCTCTCTGTTAATGACCAAGACTCATTAATAGGATAGGCACAAAGAAATAAGGACGTAGCTTCTATTCTTTTGATAGTTGTACAGAAGAAAGAATTTCAGAAGTGTGTAGACCAGATGTAAGCAACATCTAGAGGTCTGGGAGCCTGTCCCCTGAGCCTGCCCCCCGCCCCATGTCCACCCTACTCACTAGAACTCTTTCCAAGGTGTGCTTTTTAAAGGCATATGCTATTGATGTAACTTTTTTTCTCATTCCTGTTAAGTTTTTTTTCTGTTATTGCTGGGCTACGTTTGGGGTTCAGATCAGAACTTTGCTGACCATTAAAGATTGACCATGGCCTATATTGAAATACCTAAGACTGACCTGATACATTCAGTCCACGGGTAATGGACAAGTAGCTTAAATCATCAGCCCTTCTTCTTTGAAATGTGTCCCTTCCATTACAGAAATGGAAGCAGCAGCAGTGAGAGAGGAGTAGAGGGAGAGAAGACATGGGCACATATAGGCAAAGCATTGACAGTCATACATATTACTGGTATTCTGTGCTGCTGTAGTCAACCCCAGTTTGCTCTAATGTTAGGGCATCCCTGAGGCCAGTTTCTTAGTGTGGAAATGCTGAAGCTCTATGGATTAATTGGCAGGCTTTTTTTTAATTTTGGAAATGCAATTAAATGCTAATGTAATGGAAAGAGTACTTCCTGGAGCCTTTGTAATTTGAAGACCCAATGATGACAACACCTTACTCACATTTATGATGATATGCTATCTCACCTGTGAGAGACTTTTAAAGAAGGCTTTTTTGGGGGGGTCACTGATTACCTTGGAATGCTTGCATGGTTCCTTCGGAAAGCCATTACTCATGGAACGTTTTTTTAATGACAGTAAAACCCAGGAATGGCAACTAAGAATTAAGTTTCTCTCTAGTGCAGTTCAGCATAATTAAAAGATGGCTAGCATTATTTGCCCCCTTAACATAACAGAAAAAAAGCTCATATGCACATGATGAAATTATATCAGCAGTGTTATGCACATCAGTTTATTTAATATGTTCAGAACAGTGAACATTTGCATAGTTCAAAGGTGGCAGGGTTGTTGTTGTTTGCCAGAACATTGTGTCTTTGCCCAGGGTAAAGATGCCGAGCCTTAAGGAGTGCAATTCTTTGTGTATACCTTACTATGAAATAGATCAAGGAAGGCTTTCTGGACAAAATAGCATTTGTTTCCTTGATGGGCCAGCATATAGAATTAGGGAGATTGATTTTGGTTGCTTTTTGGTTAAGAATGTATCATTATTAACCTTTTATACTTTCGCCATTGTTAATTTATCGTTTATCATTTTCATTCGGTTTCTATTCCAGTGGTAGAGATTTAAAAGCTGTGGTTGCAAACAGAAGCCATGTGATTTTTCTGCTTTTTTTCTGCTTCTGATTTTTCTATTCCACAGTGATGGAATAGATATTGTACTCTTTGAGAGCTCAGTTAACAAACAGGAGTGCTTTTATATATGGAGATTAGACTCCATATAGGAGAAGGAGAGAAAACCTGAATCTTACATGCATTTCAGCTGGCAGTACTCTGCTATGTAAGTAAGGTGATACAATGGGACATCCAGTGTTCTCTGCTCTCCTGTCTTGGTGCCTTGTTTCTCAGGAACCTCAGTATACTAGGGGAAATAATGGCTAGAAGTAGAGCAGTTTAGAGGTAATGAGCACCTTCAGTTTGGTCCTTATTCTCAGGGCTGCTAAAGATGATGTTAGCAGAGTTTTTTCCAACTCTGTATAGGTTTGGAACATATACAGTAATAGAATGCACAGATAGAACCATCATAACATTAATAATTGTGTAACATCAAGTCAATTCTGACTTACTGCAACCCTTTTCAGGAGTTTTCTAAGTAGATAATAGAAGTGGTTTACCATTCTAGGCTCTAGGCCACACAGGCTAGCTCTCCTGAGATGCAAAGTGGGGAATTGAACTCACAACTAGAGATGGGGGTATTCGTATATGAATACGAATACCCCCGCACAGGTGGACATAACGAGGGTCCAGCCCCATGGAGCCGGATGGTCCACTCACCAATCTGCCACAGCCGTGAGTGCCCTGGAGCCTTCCAATGGCTCCATAGATTGCATTTGGCAAGCCACTCTTCAACCTAGCAGAGAGGCATGTCGTCCCGCCTCCTACCAGGAGCGGTGAGCTGAACGCGATCTCCAGAGCCATTGGAAGGCTCCGCAGCACCCGTGGCTGTGATGGGTCCGTAAGTGGACCATCCGGCCCCATGGGACTGGACCCTTGTTATGTCTTTCTGTGCAAGGGTGTTCCATCTCTACTAACAAACTCTGGCTCCACAGTCAGGTACAATTTCAAAAAGGCAGAAGGGGAGAAGATGGGGGGCAGATTGCCTGTGACTGTCTTCTGTTGTTAGAGATGGGCCATAAATTCCAAACTGCTAGCTGAGGAGGAGCTTGAGATCAACATGCATGCTGCAGCTATTTCCAGCTATAACCTAGCCTCTACACCATCAGCCATGTGACTTTGGGACATTAATAACAGCACATAAATTTGAAACTACGCTCAAGAATGTGATGCACAGCCTTGAAGAAGATGATTTATCATTGAAAGCTTACAGTTTGTTTGTTTGTTTGTTTGTTTGTTTGTTTTAGATTCTTAATAGTCAATTAAAGGTATCACCGGCTTCTGCATTTGTATTGTTTCCACAACCATATGGTCTTTTCCTGATTTTTCCTAACTCACTGAGCTATTCAACCAGCAGAACAGTCTGGTTTTAGAGACCTATGTTTAGACCCTACTATAAATCTACAAATAAGTTGAGGCCAACAAGCTAAATCCACGCCACAGCATCTGGGTTTTCTGCCAGATGAGGGGATGTTCTGTCATAAGGCATCTTTCTTTCTCTCTTTCTGCTTGGAACAATGCCAGCATTACACCATTGTGGGAGGCAGAGATGGAGCTATGCTCTCTGCTTTAGAGTATTCCAGTGTGCTACAATTTCATACAAGAGTTAAAAAAAAACACTTCATAATTAATAATGCCATGTTAAAATCTGGGGTGCAGCTGTTTTTGGATTCCTTTTATTACAGTTTTTGGATTTGATGCAGGAAATAGGCTGCTCTTTGCAAAATGTGTTGTGTATTCTTTTGAAATAAATAATAACACAATGTTCCTTGTTTTGCATAGCAATATGTGATGGGTGTTGGAAGCCCAGTGCTCCAGGATTTGGTGGAAGATATGCCATCAGGGCATGTCCCATCATGCTACTCGTCTGAATATTTTCAAGTTTTCCCTGTGTATCTAGTTCAGTTTAGCTAAACTTGAAACCCACGTCATACACAAGGTTGATTGGTGAATCAGCTGAGATGATGAATCATATAATGTCTCAAATAGTTTGGTTGGCTGGGTTCTTGAAAAAAACACTGTAATTGCTGAAATGTATTATGTTTAGCTTGATTTGCTTCAAGAACAATTTCCAATGAGTTTCTGCTATTTATTTGGACCTGCAGCACTTTGAGTTTTAAGGAGGACCTAGTCAAAATCTGTGCAGTGACTGACATATTTTGCTTGGAACATACAGAATTAGGCTTATAGCCTGTTAAGCATTATGCCTGCCAGCCATGTAATGGAATTGTCTTTGAATTGGAGGATATTTGAGCCCAAGTATACTTTTTGTATGGTATCATCTGCCCTAAAAGGAAGACTCTCAAAGAGCCCACTTAAGAATGAAAGAGATGCACAGTAAAAGAGTTTTACATAATGCCTGAGCTCTGAAAATGGATGTCAGCTATATGAGAACAACACTAGGGTTTTGCAGCATCATTTCCGACTACTGTGATGTTGAGTGTTTCTTCTGCTATCTGTGTGCTATATTTAATTATGCCATTTGGAATTCTCATGCTTAGACATTTTTTACAGATTGCTTGTGTTTCATCTGAATTCAAGGCAGTGGTTGGCATCTGAAAGCCTAAACAGTAATTTACTCCTTTGGATCTATTTCATATTTGTCATGATATGTCTATGCTATTTAATATGATCAAATCTTTTAAGTGGTTTGATCTTGCTGTTTCTGCAGCTAGAAGGTAAACAAAAGAAATTGATGACATCTAGTAGAATCCAATGTGCGTGTAGTCTCAGAATGTGAAAGTTAAAAAAATATATTTATGAAAAATGACCCATGTCTTGGTCAACTGGTTGTTCTGTGGCCTTCTCCAGTGGCTTTACTGTATCATTATCTACTACTGTCTAAAATATCTGTTCCCAAGTTTCACTAAGTGGCAGGTGATTTGCTACAGAACATCTAATTAATTTATAGTATGATCCTCAGACTGTAACATTCAAATCAATTTATAGTAAGATCCTCAGACTGTAACATTCTATACTACATGCTATAGTATGTGAAGGAAGCCTTTCC